TAGCACCAAATTGTATTACAACATCTTATCGAACCCAACTGACATAGAAATCGTAAAAGTTTTCATAATTTTTATGAAATGTGTTCAGAAAATCATCTTTCGCTAAGAGCCAATTAGAATTACATGCAATATTGGCTAAAAATACTTGACTTTTGGCATCGAAACGTGTTATTCTGTGGGCTACACGAAAAAAAGAAGCCTAGAGAGCGACAAAAATGCACAAAAAAAAATAGACAAAAATTCAGAATCTTGAGTGAATCCTTGGCAATGCCGACAGTCAGTGTCTGCTCCACCGCAGACAATGCTCTGTCATCTAACAATTGTTATATCAACGGTCATGCAGATGATACATACATCATTTTGGCAGCAGGTATGATATTCCAAATGCACATTGTCACTAGAGTGTACGTATAGTATAGGAAGCGCATTTGGGAGAGATATTGAGATAACAATTTTGTTACATTTTGAGCGCATTTTGTGTGAGTTTTTAGCTCAATTTTCCAAAGGAACCAAAGCTTTTTTTGAGTGAGTTCGGTTTTTGGATCGGTATGGTTCGTGTTGTGAACGATCTCCTCCACCTGTGCTCCACACACACAGAGGCATGGCTATACTTAAAAATGATTTTTCGCTTATTTTTAGCAACTGAATTTTACGTTATTTCAGTGGGTTTTTTCTCTCTTGGCGTTTCGGTTGCTCATAATCATGTTCATATTCCACACACATTTCACCTGAGGCTAACACATATGTATGTACATATATGTATGTATAGCCGAGGATGGGCCAACCATTGCTTATATATAAGGTGGCTGTCCTGTCCGGCCAGTTCGTGCTTGGTATCTTCTAGATACACGTACGATACTTAGCACTGCCTGGCCATAACTTTATTTATTTGATGCCACACACACACACACACACACAAACACTCACAGAAGTGTATCTGTGTATCGTGGAAAGTGTATGCCACAGCACAGCACAGCACAGAATAACATTCTGTGTGTTTGCCACATTTTGGAATGTGTAATTATTTAAAAATAACCTGGCGAATATGTAGCAAGCCATTCGGCGATAAATAAGTCGGCCAGAAATAGCCACAAGCCAGACCAGCGACACCTTTTGTCAAAAATTCCCGATTCAAATTTGCTCGAAATTCAATTTGATTTGAGCTTGAAATGCCCTGGGATTCTATCTGGGATCTAAAGCCGCCTGGATCCTATATCTTTTTCCAATTAACTTTCCGGAAATCGCCTGAAAAACCATCTCCTTTAAGGAAGTCTCTCTCGCTCTCTCTTTCCTGTCTTACCAATTCGATGCCGTTTCGGCCAATGCAATCGCATTTGAGCTTGTAATTCCCAGCTGGTTTACGGCCCATTGCCCATCATTTTACAGATGCACTGAGGTCAGTGATGGTGTATCACAGGGGACTGGGACTGGGACTGGGACTGGGACTGGGACTGGGACTGGGACTGGGACTGGGACTGGGACTGGGACTGGGACAGGAGTACGTACATTTTCCCACCTCTTGAGGCCTGGTGGCAAGACAGAAATCACTCAGCGTTCGCATCGTGTCTTCTATTTCTTTCATGTTTCGTGTGTGCCACAGCGCACAAAATTAGGTCAAAATTGTTATGATCACACAGATACAGCACACCACACACACGCACACACCTATAGAGGAGAACCTATAGAGAGTATGCCCTGCTATGCAGTTATATATAGATCGACTACAGCTTGTACGAGGTGTTCTCCTGCTTTACAAAGTGCGTGTGTGCCCATTTGACAAGTGCTCAGCAGCCACTTTCTGCATGCCTCTTGAGAGGAGAGCTCTGCAGCTCTCTATGGAGAGTGCCACATAACAGATAGCGGGCTCAAGTGGGCGCCAGTTTGGGGCGTCTCCAACTCGGTGGGTGGTGCAGCAAAATTCCAAACCCAACGCCAGATAAAAATACACTTTTTAATGCATTCAAAACAAACAACGGCGCGCGGCTCTAATGCATTTCAGTTCCCTGAAAAAGCTATCCTCCCTTCCACTCCCTTTTCTTTGTTTTTCGCCAAAAAAAATTTCCATTTTTCGTTCGGGCGTTGACAACTTCAAATCCACCTCCTCCTCGTGCGGATGATTCACAAAACGATGCCACGGATTTGCACTCATAATGCCAATTGCCATCAAAACGAAGAGTTGACAAATCGAGGATTTAGTATACCTCTTGGCCCATATAGCATCGACATCTCGGGGGCTGTGACGTGTCACTGTTTCTGTGGCTCTGACTCATGCGGATGAGAAATACACTCATCCTCCGCGCCATGAGATGTGTATATGATCATGTGGGTGAAAGAAAGCTTGAAATATGCCATGCTATATTGTACAGCAACGATCTAGTTCGATATACATGGCCCATGGGAAAGTCTATGCAATTAGATCAAAATAAGCAACAATATCTGATATTTATGAATCTTCTGTGTGGTAAACAAATCTGCCATTTCAATCGATTTGGGAAATTTTTAACTCAGTTTGTATCTATATATGAATAGATTTCTGTATTTATAAATAGGCATTCACAAATAAAAACTAAATATTTTCGGCTGTGTTTTGGTATCTACACAATTTCCACTACCCCCTTTCCGGCCTATCCCCCCATGTTATGAGCCATTGACAGAATTATTCGCTGTCAGAGTTTTCATTACCTTGCATGCGGTAGATGCAGTGCTAGGCAGGAAATCATCATCGGCCACATAAGTAATAGTTTTATTACTATTGCCTGAAGATGGCCATAGAATTGGTATAGAAATGTTCTTCTGGTAGAGTATTTGGCATTCGGTTTGGCCGTTTTTTGTACATGCCTTCAGCTAAACGATTAATCATCAAAAATATGTGCAGCTCGTGATGTTAAATGCAATTGCAATTTAATTAATCTCAACAGCAAATAGCATTAAAAATGTGTCTTTTCTGACGATTCAAATTAAAATTGTATGTTTGGTTGCGATTTGTGCTAGATATTGGAATTATTTGTCGATTTAAATGTAGATTATCTTGGGATGCTGTGTCATCAATGTGCCCTTGCCTTGCCATCTTTAGGGTATAGGGGTGCATATGTTAGATTTGTGGGTGAAGTAGGTGGGTGTGGGACATCCATAAGGAAGCGTTTCCGCTTGATCAGCATCAATAGCCGAGTTATCCCTGTCTGTCCATCCGTCTTGTTTGACGCCTAGTTCTCAGAGACTATAAGAGCTAGAGCTACAAAATGTTGTATCCAAACTCCAAGCAGATTCCCGAATCTTAATCAGATGGGATTATTTATATAGCCAGAAGAAACGCAACAATTTGCAGTGGCTACGCAACTATCTCTCTCTCACACACTCTCGTCGTGCAATGTGTGCGCCCTCTGTCGGAAGGGAGCCATACTGACCAAGTATCGCATACAAATATAGAGTCGCGGCCGTAACTGCAACACACAACGTTCCCCCGCGTTTTGTATATAATGATAATTTAATAAGCGTTACTTAAACTATGATCTCTTTTTTATTTTGATAATTAAATTGGCTTACTACTAATGTATTAAAGAGTTAACTAGTCATATATACCTTTAATTAGGATGATTTTAATTTTGTTCATTGTTTAACAAATTTTTTTAGTTTTAATGTTCGAGGCGTCTAGACGTTTGAGTCTTTTTGATTTTATACGCCAATGCAACTTTTTAAGATTATTTTAGCATTTGATGCCAATGGCTCTGATCGGGCATGGCCCCAAATAAGGCTAAATTCCAAGGAATACAAAAATATATATGTATAAACACTAGCGGGAACGGGTACTTTTATACCCAGTACTCAGTATAGACATATTTGAGCTTATGATTTATGTTACCGTTACGATATATTTTATACGTAATTATATCTAAGCGTAGAAATTGGTAACGGAAGCCCCTGACTGCCGCATGCTCTCTCTCTCTCTCTCATTCATGCTGATCTCTCCGCAATCTTTCTGAACTTTGCTCGCACTTGTCATGAGAGGTAGGAACAACATAGAGAGAAAGAGAGGAAGCACGACCCCTATTTACAACCCAATTACCTATTTTATAAGAATTTTAAATACTTTATGTGTTTCCATTCTTCCGGTAATAAATATTTTGTATTCCGCTACATGTGTCTCCCTCTTTTTCACTGCTCACACCAACACCAGCTGTGTTGCTATCGTGTTGTGTTGCCTCCAACATGGGAGCACACTGCACGAATAAGAGGGAGAGAGAGAAAGAGCGAGCGGGTGGAAGTGGTAGCGTAGACAATGCAAATGGATTTGTTTATTGTGACTATAATAATGATCCGATCTGATCTAGGTTCGGCAATTTGATCGATATTCATTCTGATCATTATCAATGATTCTGTCATTTTGGTTTTCAAAATTGTGAATAACAAAGATTTTCGTCCCTTGTGCGGGACGGAATGGGGTGTCCCACACTTGTAACAGTGTGATATCACAGGAGTCTGGATACAAAACTTGGTTGCTCTAGATCTTATAGTCTCTGAGAACTAGGCATCACACAAGGCGGACAGACAGACATGGCTATATCGACTCGGCTGATGCGGCTGGTCAAAAATATATATAGCTTATGGGATTGGAAACGCTTCTTTTTGGGTATTACACACATTCACAAACAAACTAATATATCCCTAAACTCTTCGAGTACCGGGTATGCAAAAAAATATTGGAAGCTTGGCACTTTAGGTTCCATATATTGCCGCTTTAGTGGCGCTGCTGCATTTTGCGGCAAACCTGTACACTACATGGTTGAAACATTTGGTTGTTTCTCATTACTAATCGTAGATGGCGCTGTGCGCTTGTTTTAAAAATCTATGTAAAAAGCATGTCAAAGCAGCATAGATCTGTAGCAGAGATGTAAAATTAAATCTTAAAAGAAAACAAATCTTGTTAAATCCGAACGTTCCCCCCAGTATCCCCCAGCATTATGTTTTATTCGTAAAAACTAATGAAAAATGCAAGTAAAAAGTAGGCATTTCCATATCTCAAATATCAGGCATCCATTATTTGTTAAGTCCAGGGCCTACAATACATTTTTGCGTCTGTAGCTATACCATACATAGATTAAAAATAAGTAAAATCGATCGAAAAACAGTACGAGTATCAGTTCAGGAAGAACTCAATCAGGTTGGTCAGCCGCCGCATATTGACATAGTTGACCAGCACCAAATAGCCGTAGCAGGTGTATATATAGGCCCACCACTGGACATGGAGCGGCTCCTTGAACCAGCTGCCACTCCGAAGGCGTCCCACTCCGTGGAAGCCATAGGGCTGCAGGACGTAGGCGTGGTGTCGTTCGGTGATCAGGCGCCGGAACACCGCCCCGCACAGGTGGACCACGGTCAGCAGAAGAATGAGTCGCCGCAGGTGCACCAAGAGCAGTACCATGTTAACGAGAGTTCCCGTGTTCTGGGGGAAAGTATATCAATTTCCTGGACTCTGATTAATCTCTCAATTATCACCACACACTCCGTACAGTTCTGGGGCTTCTTCTTAATTTCCCGAATTTATTTTTACTTCTGCTTCTTTCGATTTATTTTCGCATTTTCGCGAGTTCTTCGCGTTCCGCCTTGTCGTTTTGTTTTCCTCCCATTTTTCGCCTGCCTTTGTGGTGGAAATGATATATATAGACAGACACGTATATAAAACCGATTTCAGCTGGCAACACTTGCCAAAAGTTCTTACAACTATTTCTCGATCGAAAGTTTTGGGCTATAAGCTTTTTCCTTTTTGGCGGTTAGGTGTGCAATATTTGATTTTGAAAATTGTTTAGAATCAAAGACCCTCTGTTTATAATATGTTGTAATGTGTAGATTCCAAGCAAATTGCAGGAAAAAAACTGTCAGTGCTTGCCAAATCGAATTAAAATCCACTTCAAATGGAGCATAATAGAACGCCTCTTCAGTTGCCTTTCAGCGCATTCAGACATAAGCTATTCCCAAGTACGCCCCATAAAAAAATATCTACAAAAATCAACAAGCTGCATCCGATTAAGATCGATCGAGGCAGTGGCATAAGTTTAGAAGGGGTTTCCAAAGGAAATAATTGATTTAAGATTTAATGCTTCAAGATGATACCCATGGACCGAATAGATTTAACATACATTCTTGAACAGTTTGGTTGTCAATTTTAACTCCCAAGACCCCTTCTAAACTCTGGCACTGCCTGCACGGCGTATACGCAATGCGTATACGTAATATTTTCATGAAAGAGCCACAAGAAAAATACTTGAGACCCAGACACACACTTCTAAACAACAGCTCCAGCCAAATGCAACCTTGAAAAAGCGATCAAATCCCCAGTCCATCGTGAAACCAAAATTTGTGTCGGAAAAGCAAACAAAAGGCCCCTCGCAGATTGCAACACACAGTGAGGCTGGTTAAGAACAGCAGCATACAATATTTAAATTATATATTAGCACACAGAACGCGAGCCGTGGAAAATGTGGAAAAATGCGAGACGAAAATGTGGCAATAGCCAGCCAGCCAGCAGCCGCCGACAGCAGAGCGGAAAATGGGATGTAAATAAAAGACTAAACTACAACAAAATAAATAAAAATAAAAAGCGATAATTATCTACAATTTGATGGGGGGGTCTATGGTATTTATTTGGCAGTGACAGGGCAGAATCGCAGAACAAGTCCGACCCCACAAGGAATACTTTTTGATGTACGACAAGGAAATATTTTATGGCATGCGCGTGCCATACGGGGAAACCGCCTGTTGAATCGGATTTCCCTTGAATTTTTCCATATGGTATACGAAATTATGGAAAATTGGCACATGGTTCAATACATAAAACGTGATTTTGTTTAATATAATTTCTGGCATTTATAGTGCCTTTAGAAATTTGAAATTTACTCAAAGAGAGATAGAAATAATCACTTCAGAGTCCCAAAACCAATCTCTTCCGCCTTGCGTACAACAAAACAATTTTCTCGTCTTTTATTTGGATTTTATGTGCCACCAAACAAATTGCATTTGTTTGTCCCTCCTCCCCATAGGATCCCTGCCCCTGCCCCTGCCCCTGCCCCGGCACACCATTCGTTTTATTAACTAGCGTTTGCATCGTTTCATTGCATAATCTGTCGCTGGAGGCACGCCCCCAAACGGCCCCAGACATAAATTACAAATTTGAGAAGCGCACAAAATGATTGAAAGCCGCAGAGCAGAGCAGGCCAGAGATCTGGGAAACTGGGATGCGGATGGAGATGGATATGGAGATGGAGAAGAGATCTCGCATTGGATCCCATTGGAACTCTGGTGAACATCAGTATGATTGACCGACCGCAGTGTGTGTGCACCTCGCTCACTGCTGGCTTGTAGCTGCCTCGACTGTTGCTCCCGGGGATTGCCGGGTCTGACTTTTATGGCTGTCGGTGTATTTCTTTTTATTGCCTGCCCAAAATTCATTTCTAGTTTTCTGTTTTTTTCATCATACCCTGCTACTTGTAGGGATATTAAATGGGCATATTGTAACAGGCAGAATAAAGCGTTTGCTTTATGGATATGGGGCTCAGAGAGTATCTTGAATATCTATCATTATCCTGTTTGTATCATTAGTACTGTCAGATTTAGTAGAAATCAGCCTCTCTTTGTTCCTGGCTACAGGGTATCTTATAGTCCTTTCATCCATACAGTTCTCAGTGGTGTTTCTCTCTCTGATTTGTTTGCATTCAGCTTTCAGAGTTTTCGGCTTTTTCTGGGTTGCGTTGGCGTTGGCGTCTACGCCTGCAGCACGCACTGGGAAAATGAAAATATTTGTGGAAAGCATGCGAAATGCACACGCCTGTTGTGGATCTTTTATATTTTTTAATGCAGCGCTGAAAGCTATTTGTATCTGTCGGTCAGATTGGGTTAAGTCTTGGCCCCCGTTCCGCAGTTGCTCCCTTTCCCTGCTCCTGCCACTGCCACTGCCACTGCACTCTTACTCTGGCATGTCTTTCGTCAAAGTGTCGAGCCACTTTGCCTGGGGCTGGCCTGCTATTAGCCCATTGATGCCGCCTTTTGGATGCATATACAACCTATACCCCACTTTTAGTATTGTATCTCTGTCGCCCATTCTGATTTATGGGATTGGATGGCTTGGGGCAAGGCATTATCTTTCATTTGAATGGTTTTTGGCATTTTGCGCATATTTAGTTTTAAATGTTTTCACTAAAAACCCACGAATTCCCCGTTTCATTTTCTGTTTAGACGTCATCTTTGTTAGCCGCACGCTTCCGGTGACTGCCAGAGGCAGCAGCAGCGGCATCGGCAGCGGCAACTGCAAAAGTGGCACAAAGATTTTTATTTTTAAAACCAGAACAAATATCAGCATATACCCAGTATGTGTCGTTGTCTGCAGTATGATATCTGTGATATATTCTTTTTTGGGGAGGGTCCATGTCTGCGATGCACAAATGAGCCAGAATGCCGGGGGGAGGGCGCAGGGCGTGAATGTGTGTACAGAATCTATGCCAGAGCTCTTGGGCGCCATGACCTGAGCTAGTGGCAATCTGAATGGATGTGGAATTAGCAAGGAGCTTCCATGGCAATCCCATAATCATGCAAACAGGTCAACAGGTAAATCGTATTTTCCTAGCCCAAAAAAATAAATCATAATCCGTTGGGACGGGACAGGGACAGTTCATCATCTCATTCTTAAGTTCATAGAACCCCTCGTCGAGTGATGGCCTCCCTTGCCGACCGAAACATGACAGACTGCATCTGTATCTGTTGGCGGCAATTATCATCTGCAGCACACTGTTTGAGATACTTTTTTGTTTTTGTTTGTGCTGGATACATTTTGTGCATCTTCCCCTCTATCTGCGGGTTGGCCCACTCATCGATTAGTCACCCAAAGACAAAAATATATTTGAATTAAATTATTTATCTAATTATAGATGGGAATATGGGCAAGGAACCATATCAACGAGTATGATGCTGTTCATTCCATAGCCCAGATATACTAAATGCGAAACACTTTTGAGCATTACAAGAATTTGTAGAAAACGAATGGAAGGAAAGGAAAGGGAAGCAGTACATATAGCCGGGTTGGCCGATTTCTGCCAGATATACGCCTGAGCAGATAGATACATACATACGGGAAATACTGGGGAAATCATGACGATAGCTATCGGCCGATCCTGGGAATACTCTAAGCGGGAAATAATTATTTCTTCTTTGGGATGGAGGATCATCAATGTGAAAACCGGTACAATTATGGATGATATGTTTATTTTGGTAGTATTGATATGTATGTCCTTAAATGGAGCAGCAGTAGCAGTATGGTTATAAAATTGATTGATTTCTGTTGTTGGTGTAAATGTTATCATTATTATTATAAATATAATATATTTTATATGAAATATTCGTAGACCTATTGCTGGAGCAGAAGAAGAGCATTTTGGTACACTGATCACATCCTGCATCCGGATCCGGATGATCCTCAAGGTATACCAAACATTCTGTTCATAATGCTGATACCCTTTGCTGGGAGAGTGTTCTAAGAACTTTTATTTATTTCTCTATTGCAATTTACAAACGCAGCGATCATCGACAGAGGAGGAGGCGATCGTTGGCGATCTCTCCGCTATGCTGCTCTCGTGCCTGCCGAAAATACTACACGCACAACACCCAACGCGAGAAAGGGAGAGAGACAAGAGACGAGAGACGAGAGACGAGAGACTGTTCTCTGCTCAGCTTTTCACGCAGTGTTCAGTGCGAGGGAAAATCTCGGCAAGAAAATATATATTTTCCCAGCGGCCGGGCCAGACAGTTTTCCTTTGACAACGCGCCGAGTCGCACACACGCTTCGGGCCAAAACGGAAAATCGGGAAAATTTCAAACTGAAAAACTGAAAATACCGAAAAATCGCATCGTTCGCGTTCGCGTTCTGCGACAAAATAATCTGTGAGTGAGAATGAGTGTGTGTAAATGTTGCTAAATTTATAAATAAAATCTCAACATTCTGCCTGCCTGCTCCCAAAGTAAAATGAAATAAAAGGAAACAAAAGTTGTGGGGCGGACGAAAAGTGGTGGAGATGGAAAATAAGAAAAATATCAAGGCATAAATAAAACGCCTCGTGACGTGTCGTCCGCCGTACGCGCATCGCATCGCATCGCATCGCATCGTTCGCATCTGATTCCCGTGTCCCGTCCCGTGTCGTCGCATTTGCCGGCTGCATTCTCAAATAGATCGGATGAGGATGAGGAGCACTATAGCTCTATAGCTCCATACCATACCATACCTTCTCTATATAGCTCTCTGGCTCTACAGCTCTAGATACATCAGTATCTATATGTATATCAACCTGGCCGGTGCGTGCCGGCGGATTATGTAAAGTGGCACACACAAAGATCCCAATCTCGGAGCGGCGAAAAAACGAAAAACAAAAAGATATATAAAGAAATGAAAAGAAAGTTGGCCGAAAGCAAGAAAATCGAAAAGGAAAACAGAGTCAAGAATCGACAGAGAGAGAGAGAGAGACAGAGAGACAGAGAGGGAGAGAAATATTTGTCGCACGCGCGCGAATTCAGTAAATGTATCTAATTTATTTTGCATCTATTGCAATTGAGCGGCGACCGCCCCATGCATCCGACAGATACGCTTTCGTAATTGTCGTCAGTGGTTCGAGATAGTGGTATATTTTGTTTTTTTCGCTCGTCGCAGACAAGTGTGTGCCAGATTGGATTACCAGCAAAAAGAAAGGAAAGCCCCAGTGAAGATAAACCGAAATAAATTATACAGATTTTAGTATCTGATAGAATTCTGATTACTCCAAAGGCGGCAGCGATCGCACGCCAAAAACAACAACGTAATGTCTTCCTATCGCAGTTATGTAAGTAATCGTACAAGTTAATGCCGAGCCAACTATCTGTATCCGCACTGCATCTGTGTCTGGGGTATCCGTGTAGCCGCTATGTATCTGTGATCCCTCCCAGTGTATCTGTGTACCGCGATCTCTTGGTGTTCTGTGCGCTTTTGTGTGTTTTTGCAATTCCTACCATCCACAGATTTTTGTTTATTTCTAATTTGTTGCCTTACCTCACACGTAGCGAGATAAAATGTATCTATGAGCTTGCTTTTATTGCGTATCTGCGAGTGTGCTTTTGTGCCTCCAGATCCATTGATAAACAATTTACCTAAAAGTTTGCTCATTGTCTGACTTTTGCCCAGTTAATTGCTCTCATTTTCCAGGCAGCATCTCAAATTATGCTGTGCCTAGGTGTGGCTGGGTTCTTTGTAAAATCTGAATGAGAGAACGAATGAATGAGTACACGTACAAATGGGCAAATGAATGAGCTTGAATTAATCACTTTTATGTGTATATGCACAATGTACGCTGATGATCTTTCTGGCAGTGGATTCAAATGATTTAACTTGATTTTTGGTTTATTTTTCAAATATTTTATATTTGTTTGATTTTTTGATGCATTTCGAGCAGTCAATGTCAGTGTTATTATAATAAATGGCTGTAGATTAACTCTTAATCTTAATCTGTTCATGGAAAGCATCAAAAATCAATCAGATAAAAGTGATTTATCTAGTATATAGCAGCCTCCAAGAGAACGCCACAGCCACTACTGACCTATGCGAAAAAGTCCCATAAACAATACCCTGTTTATACCCCCCTTTCTGGATAGCTAAGGGCCATAATGGCCTATGTGTGGCCCCGCTGAGGACCGTCCGGACTAACCTAACCTAGTACATAATATATTCAATTTGTAGGAGAATCTAAATTTAAGTGGAAACACTTTCTTTTTACAATTTCCACACTCTGATAAAATCTCTTTGAATACATTCTTAAGTCTCATCTAATCGATTGTCAGCGCTTTTTTCTCTGGGTGTAAGGGCAATGTTCCTATAATTTGGCCTAACATTCAAGTCGTTAATCCCCTGGGAAGATTCTCCTCTGATTCCATTCATGTTCCGCTCATTACATCCTTTTGTTCCTAGACATCAACTTTATGAGTTTTTGGGCCGTCTTCTGACACGACGCTGCATAAATCAATTAAATATTTTTGTGACCCTCTCAAACTAATAAACCAATCAATTTATGGCCGGAAAACAACAAGTCTCCATTCCATCTCTCCCATCAGCAGTCCACCTTTCTCCTACTCCAACCTCTACACCGAGATCTCTTTCAGCATCAGTTCCCAATTATTTTTAGAATCTTTGGGTCTATAAATGTTGGAAAAAATAGTTTCTGTGCTTCTTTTACGGGTGACGCAGTCAGAGTTCTTGTGTTCTTGTTGGTGTTCCTGGCTTTTGGTACTTTGTTGAAGATTTTTATGGCCAGAAGGAAGTTGTAAATATTTATGACACGCATAAAGTCGAAAGTTCCCTGTGAGAGCCGCCGCGGAGCACGCACCACCTAATTAATTAACAAAGTGTGAATCTCCATGCAATTTGTTCGAAGCGAATGGGAGTCTTGAGCGGGGAGCAGCGATAGACCCATCAATCCTGTAAGACTCGAGGAATAAATCTCAGATCAATTGGAAGCAAGGACGTGGCACCACTGCTCTCGAAACTCGAAGCTGGAATCGTAATCCTTCCCACTTGTGTAATTCTTTGGACAATTTTAATGTTTCATAGTTTATTTTGTTGTGAATTAATTGAAAAATGTAACAGTGTTTATTCATTCTTCACTGGTATGGCACGAGGGCTCTGGACAAGCCGAGCGGTCCTGTTTCCCTTCTCCACCAATCCGATGATCCAGGCCGAATGGCCATCCAGCCTCTTGAGATCTTTGCAGAAGGCAGTAGCCTGCTCCTGTGGCATGCAGATGAACAAACCTCCCGAATGTTCGGGGGCCCGACCCTGCAACAGCTTGTTATTGGCGTCGATGATGCTCCTGGCCAACTTTTCCACATTCTTGATCAACGGCAGGTTGTAAATGCTAAAGCTCACCGCGTTCCTTTGCAGAGAAGCCAGGTGCTGGGCATGCCCCAGGAGACCCAACTCGCCAATGTGGGTGGCCCCGTGGGCATTGTGCTTGAACATGAGACCAGCAGCCACCCGATTGAGGCGGGACATGCACTTGATGGCCTGGCGATGGGTTTGTTGCACCTCCTCGTCGGTGAGTTTCAGCTGCATTCGCTTGCAGCGCGTTCCCTTGCCGGTGATGTACTGGTACGCATTGAGGGCCAGCTGTGTGCCCAGGGGCTTGGTCAGAACCAGGACGTCGCCGTCGATAGCGTATCCCGGCTCAATGAACCCGTCCCTCTGGCACACAGACGAGGCCTCTCCGCCCAGGAAGCACCAGGGATTAGCTATGGTCTGGACTCCAGTAATTGGGGCGCCAACGTCAGAGGCGCGGAACCTAAAGCCGCTCAACATTAAAGGGAGCACCACATCGCGCTCCTGCTTCGTCATCCTGTTGCTCACGCCCAGCATCATCGTCAGGTTGTCGCAGTCGCTGACGCCCATGGCATACAGATTGTTGAGCACCTTGCCACACGCGATTTTGCCCATCACATAGGGATCATCGATAATGGGGTAGAAGAGGCTGGTTGCCTGCACCAGCCAGTATACGCCTGTTCGCAGCGGAATCACAGAGCAATCGTAGCCGATGCCGAGTCGGGGCACAGCCGATGCGACCGGAAGCATCTCAGCCTGAACCACGGTTTCCGGTTCCCCCTCTTTGGCGAGACCCGATGCTAAAAGCGCATTGGAAAGAGTATTCTGTGGCAATTTGCTGCCAGCTGCCCCTACGGCGGCAAAGCGTGTCAGACGGAACGAATTGTCTAGGCCATGATCCTTGGGATCGAAGCTGGGACGCTCCAAAGTATCATCAAATTTAATTCTGTCGTTGTCGCTCATGTTTCTTTTCTTTTTTTAAATTACGTATACTTTGTTTACAATGTGAGAAAAAGCTGATATGTAGTATTCCAACACTGTTTCAAGTGTTGAAATACCTACTACAGGAAAATGCTATCGAATCACGCTCTCCACCGCCTTGCAGCTCAAAAAATATTTGAAGATTGAACGTTTGCTGCCATTATTTTTTATAAATATTATTTTTATTATTCCTTCTTGTACAAAAGTAACATGCATTATTTCACCAAGAAGAAAATGGTAAGAAATTTACATTCGTTTACAGCACTGTATCCAAGTGTTGAAACTACTTTCGATAGTATTGTTATCAAAGCGTGCTGTGAAATCGTTTTAGTTTGTCTTTACTTACAAAAAAAAATACAAATTCGAAAAAGCACAAATACTGCCACATTTCCAGGCAATTTTTACAATCTACAAGTAATCTAGAAAAGTAAGAACGCAGCCATGCCACGTCGTCATCACGGAAATGCCGCATCGATAGCAATGCTGCGCAAGAAGACGCACGACAACATCAACAAAATTAGCAGCCAAAAGACTAAAGAGAAAACCAACAAAAGCAAAAGCAAAGGCAAAAACGCCAGTGGCACCGCCAGCGGCTCGAAAAAAAACAAAAATGAGAAAAAGTCCAGCTCTGAAAAAACCGAAAAATCTAACCAGAAGCCCAAACAGCTGCCAAAGCTGGCAAAGCAGGCAAAGCTGCCGCAGATGCTGGCAAAGAAGACTTCGACTTCGTTCATTTTCAAGAAGCCGACACTGGTCCCGGCCCTAAGCCGTGTCCCGAAGAAGGTGCCAAGGTGCGACGTGGAGCAGCTTGAACAGAAGCCGAACCCCGACCAGATCTCTTCGCCTGACGACCTGCATTCAGTCGATGACGAGAAGCTGACCTGTGGCATTGACTCTACCCCAGAGTCGTTCCATGAGTCGACTTTTGAGGTATCTGACAAGGAATCATTCTTCCATCTGCAGGAGATCAGTAGCTCCGGGCCATTCTCTGACCTGCTTTCACTTTCCGACCAGGAGCCACTATGCAACAAGGCATCACTCGGCGACCAGGGGACTATCGGCGACCTGGGGCCACTCGGCGACGTGGAGCCAATCGGCGACCTGGCGCCACTCGACGACCTGGGGCCTATCGGCGACCTGGCTCCACCCGGCGACCTGGGGCCACTCGACGACCTGGGGACTATCGGCGACCTGGCGCCACTCGACGACCTGGGGCCACTCGGCGACCTGGAGCCAATCGGCGACGTGGAGCCAATCGGCGACCTGGAGCCAATCGGCGACCTGGGCCCAATCGACGACCTGGAGCCAATCGGCGACCTGGGGCCAATCGACGACCTGGAGCCAATCGGCGACCTGGGGCCACTCGATGATCTGGAGCCACTCGGCGACCAAGGATCATTCTCTGACCCCGAAACAATCTGTTACCGCCCACAGGATTTAATTAATGACCAGATGCCAGACTTCAACGAGGATCCACCCTTCAACGAGGAACCTGCAACCTGCAACCTGAAGTCACGCGGCGACCTGGAGGCAATCTTCAAACTGCCATCCTATATCATCGATCCGAAATATGCCCAGTACCAGGAGCCAGAAGCTGCAGAAAAGCCAATCAGTGATGTCTATTCGCCAGAGACGTCTGACGGCCAGGGATCGTCACGCAAGGCAGTGCCCAACGATACCTTCGCCTTTATGTTTGGCCACAGTGCGAAGGACTGGGAGCTAAAGCTCTTTCCAGAGCTGTACCGCCGCATGCCGACACTGCCCTCGTATTCGGACATCTTCGGACAGCCGTCTTATGAGTCCCATCGTACGGCGCCCAAGGCATCTTCATCTTCCCAGAGCGAAGGCATTCGGAGCAATGCCGATGGAGTCTTCACTAACGTTCCCAGTTCCATGATCCTAGATCAATATGGGATTGTGGGTCTACTCGCGGCCATGCGGGCTACCCACACCCATCCGGAGACTACCCGACTGGCGTTTGGGGAAGATCTGACAAAGCTCGGCCTAGATCTGACTTCACCGGACGAGATCTATGTGAACTTCAATGGACCCTTCACCACCAAGCCGCCACAACGGCAGCCAATGCAGATGAACCAGGACAAGGCATCGGACGACGACTTCGCCTATATGCGGGAAGCGGAATAAGAGACTGGAGCTGATTCGGCATGAGCTTGACAGCCTGATCTGTCCACATGTCCACATCAAGCACATCTTTTTGTGTAGTTTTCATTTTCATTTATTTTCACTTTTATTTTGTATAATTCTTTACACATTTGAATTTTGTAAAACGCATTTTTCGACACTTTTGACAGAGCGAAATGTAGAAAAAGCGTTTATAAATAAATCATATGTCTGGCAGACATCGGACGCATGGCACGCGAATACTTGAGATCGTTGGACTCGCAGATACATAGATAGATACATATATTTCGTAGTTATAGCTTGCGAGTGGTTTATGTGTGCTTTATAGACTCGGTCGACTGACAGACAGGCGCTTTATAGCGCATCCTGGTGTCTGGGGTCGTCCCTAATTGAGTCCGCATAATAACGCTGTCAGAGAAGTACGCACTCCACTCCAGAGAGCGGGGCTGGCACATGGCAAGCTCATTCCAGAGACGATCCATCCATAGACACATCCACATCTACATCCACATCCACATCTATCTCTATCCCCAGACTTTTCTCCGGTTGAGTCTGATGCTGAGTGTCGTCTCCGTTTGCTTGTTTTGCACATTGTTGGGGCTATTTGTGTATTTGGCATTCCATTTCACTGAGCGAAAACAATTAGCCGACACTGTCTGTCTTGCTGTCTCTTCTCAGTCTTCTCCGGCTTCCTCTTCTCTATCCGTCTTCATGGCTTCCTCTCTCTGTCTTTGTTAGTTCTCTCATTGGGCGGTCGCTGGAAGAATTCAAGATTATTATTATTCTTTGTTCTGATATATGTCATGGGAGATTTTGAGGGGGACTTGGCGCCACTTGGGGGTTCATTCAGATCGAAAATTATTTGAATTGAGGAATTTTCAATGGAATACTCCATTATTTACTTGGGAAATGATCACAAATAAATGTATTAGAGTACTCTAAAATTGCTTAGTGTGATATAAAATGGGATATAAGATGGACAGGTATCATTCTTTGGACAGGTACGAGGGACAGCCAAAATGTCTTCCAAAATATCCCAAAAATTGAATATATCTTACAATAAATGACTGTTAAATGTTTTCACACAAAGTCTTGTACAATGCTGCTTTCCACTCGTATAATGCGCCAATATTGCTCGTGTCTCTGTCAATTTAGTGGGGGTTCAACAGCATTTCAACTGCTCATTAAATATCAGCTGCATTAATTGGTGCAAAAGATCTTTTTGCTGTGCCAAAAATCTATAAAAAGTCGACATGAATTTTGCAATATTAAATGGTCTGTCCGTCTGCCTTTCTATCTGTCTGTCCCCCTGGATCCACCTGAACACGGGGGTTCTCTAAATATTTATGTGTACATCTGCATGTATGTATGCTCGTGGCCAAGATGTGTCTCTGTCGCTTTATATAGAGGACGAGGGCGAGAGATTTTCTAATGCCCGCCGATGCTCGGTCGAGATTAGAAGGCAGATGTTGAAATAATCGAAATGAATCTGTTTACACGTCCAAATTAATTGAAAAACGCGTGCTACAGCGCCATTTAATTGAAAATGAAATAGAGCCAAAGGCAAGGGAAAATGCATTGAAGCGAGTTCAAAGAAGCAGCAGCAGCAGAAGCCCCCAAAAATACAAATAGCATTGGGGATCCAATGGGAAAAGTTGGGGGAGATTCTTTGGCATCGTCTGATGGTGTTGATGTTCTCTTCAGACAGAGGCTGATGCGGCGACTGATGATGATGCCTGAGATGGGATGCCTGGCTGCGTGACTGCGTGGCTGCCTGACTGCGTGGCTGCCTGATGATGATGATGAAATGTGTGCGAATAATTGTCGAGTGCACAACTCATTGAGAAAGTTGCCCCCTTCGAACAGGAGGGGCGGGTGGATGCCGGGAGTCAATTGTTGTTATGGTCTAAGTGCGCCAATCAATCAAAGCCATGCCTTGTGATTCCTTCCCCTATCAATTTCAATTTCAATGAGAAAAGAGAATGAAGATTTCGAGGAATAATACCAAGAAAATACAAAAGAATATGTACATGGAAATTAATAGACTAGAAATAGTCAATAAGAGAATGCGGTATACGAGGAGACGCTGAAGCTGTAATATCATATCTGTTTAATCTAGAGGTGGTTCGATGCTCATGAAAATTGTTAAATGGATGGATCAAATATATCTTATTGTGTGTGTGTGCGAGCTTTTAACAAAAGATATTTGTAGTTAAGGTAGATATAATGGTAAAAGATCACGTTGAAGGAGGTATAATAGTTGTTTTCCAAAATAAACACAAATTTTAAACCATTAGCGAATAATCCCAATTACCTTCTCTTCTGCAGACACCCTGGAAGTCCAGCCTGGGCAGCTCTTACAAAACAGGCAGCTCTTCGGTGAGTCTATTAATAATACTCCCACCTTTCACCCACTCACTTTCACCCTCTCTCGCCCCACAGTATGGAGCTGGAGGCGACTCCACATCGCGTTACAGTTCCCTGGCCACGCCCAGCGCCTACAGACCATCATTCTCGGGCGGGACATACCGCCTCAAGCGAGATCCACCCACATCGGCAGCCCCACCGCCCGTCACCAGCTACGTGAGTCGCTATGCCAAGACAGAGCCCAAGGAGACGGCCGCCAGCGAGCGGACCAGTCCCATCAAGCGGTACACGGGGGGAGCTGGGACGAGCAGCAGCACGCTGGGAAAGTACGGCAGATCCAGGGATCCTAGTCCCGTGGCCCTGGAGCACACGAATCGAGGTAAATCGAGGGATCCGAGTCCAGTCATCGACAGCGGCAGGAGCAAACTGGGGGCCACCTATCGCAGTGGAAACACCTCGACCTCCTCCTCGTCGTCGGGTGCGAGGAATGGGTACGGCAGTCGCTTTGGCCCCGCCGCATCAAGGATCAGCAATGGCAGCAGCAATGGCAGTGCCATCTCCTACTTGACCACCAGCGACTTTCATGCGAGAACGGCCAGTCGAGCCAGGGCCAGCAGGGAGAAGGAGCAGGAGGTCACCGCAAGTCCCCCAGAGAAGGCCAGGGAGGAAGAGCCAAAGGGCAAACAGCAGGCCAGCCCCGAGAAGGAGCAGGAACAGAAGAAGGTTGCACAGGACCTGCAGCCCGAGGAAACCTTCGTTTCCGTGTCGGTGGTTACGCGTGCCACTTCGCCCACGCCACCGGGGAGTACCACCGTCCAGCGTACGCGCCGCATCGACATTGCCAAGACCATCGAGAAGACCATCCAGCGATCGACGAAGCCCCGCCAGATGCTGGAGAAGGAGATCCAATCGGACAGGATGGACGATTCCACGCGATATCTGCGGTACAGCGGTGGCAGCAGCAGCCTCAGCTCCACCTACAGCCCGCACAGGGATCGGATCAGCAGCCTCCGTTACAGTGCCAGTCCGCTGTCCAACAAGTCCATGTCCCCCTCCGTGGAGGGGAAGTCACAGTCACCAGCGGAGGTCCCCAGTCCACCGTCCAAGAGTAATGGCTCCTTGAGTAATGGGAGCTCCGCCAAGTCGTCCTCCGCCTCCGTCAGCAAATCGAAGCTCTCTCCGCCCAAGGCCATACGTCTGAATGCCTCACGTCAGTCCTCCGTGGAGAATTTGGCCAATAAGCCACCAGCAGCACCCACCAAAAGCGAATCACCCACCAAGACCTGCTCCAGCTCCAGTTCGGGCAGCTCTGCCGTCAAATGGCCCAACAAGGACTTCCGCAAGAGCTCCCTGAATGTGGGACCCACGGACAGGCCGCGCAAATCGCGCACTCCCAGTGGCGGGGAGTCCGAGGACGTGGTGACCAATGGAGGGTCCGCCCAACTAGAACGCTCGCCCAGTGCGGGCTCTGAGGGGAGTCTGGCTTCGGCTGGCTCCTCCGGAAAGAAGAGCTCCAAGCTGAGCAATGGCAAAACGTCCTCCTCAACGGGTAGTCGTCAGAGCACATCGACGTCCTCCGCGGCCGCCTCCTCCACCTCCGCCTCGGACAGCGAGCAGCGGGTGAAGACCGTTAAAAAACAGAGCAAAAAGAAGACGCCCAAAGAAGGCAAGGTCGTTGCCGGCAATGCCGGCCAATCGTTGCCCAACCAAAATAGCCGCAAATCGAATACGCCAGCACCTGAGTCACCTTCACTAGAGGGCCACGATCCCCAACCGAATGAGAGTCCGGTGGCGGCACCACCACCGAACCGATCGCCACAAACGCGTCGTCTGCAGAAGCTCTCCTCGGTGTCGAATTTTTTCGCAAATCGTCAGCAAGACGCAAATAGTGAACCGATCTTCCTCGAAAGCTCGGAGAGCTCTGGGGAGCCGGAGGCCCCACCATCGATCAGTCTGGCCACAGATCTTAACACGAACGAACCGCGAACGAAATCGACAAAAACGACGCCCACGAGCGAAGCGAATACCTCAACGAGATCCCCACTGACGACCCCCAGTTCGAGTACGCGCTGTCCCGCCACCACAAGGATCACCACTGCCACCACCCCAACGACGATCAGCAGCAGCAGCACCACCACCACCACGCAGGACACTAGCCTGAGCACCACCTCCGAGCAGGACCCCAGCCAAGAGGAGCCCAGCTGGTGGCAGGACACCAGTCTCCAGATAAACACAGCCTCCGCTTTGGATCAGAACAATCAGAACGGGGAAATGCCTCCCTATAGGCTACGGCACATTGATTCCGGTGAGGAGCAGGCCTGGTGGCTGCGCCGTAGTGAGGCGGATGATGAGGGTGATGATGATACGCTGGCAGAGGAGACTCTGAACCCCCTGGACGATGATCCCAGTCACTGGAGTAGCCAGGATCACGACTTGGAGACGATATCCAAGGTCAAGCAGATGCCAAGGAGCCGCATCTCACCGGAGCAGGATGCCTGGTGGCTGGAGGAGGAACAGGAGCAGCCCCAGTCTCAGGCAAAGATGGAGTCGCAGTCACCTCAGACCCGTTCCCTGCCACAGTCACCACCGCAGTCCCGATCTCTGCCCCAATCCCCCCTACAATTGCAGTCCCCTCTCCATTCAAATGGCTACCACGAGGACGAGAACAACAACAACAACAACAATGAGACGCATGTGGAGGTGACCTTGAAACTGCCGAGTGGTTCCAAAAGCTCCAACTCAAAAAGCCACAGTGACGAGGGACCCAAGCACTGGTGGATGTCCGGACCCACCAAAAAGCTGTTCAATGTCCAACGCGTGGAGTCCGGAGAGCGGGCCTGGTGGCAGGACAGTGAAAAGGAAAAAGAGAAGGAGAACGAGAAAGAGATGGAACCACCGCCAGTGAAGCCACCCACACCCCCGCCTTGCATCATCAAGCACTGGGAGTCGGGAGAGCGGGCCTGGTGGCTGCAGGACGAGCCAGAAGCAGCGCAGTCGGCAGCAGTTGCAGTTGCTGCCGCTGCCAACGCCAGCAGCGACGAGGAGGAGGAAGAGGAGCAGCAGGGCAGAGAGGAGACAGATCAAAGGCGCAGGAATCCGCAGCAGCAGCAGCACCAACTGGACACACCACACGAGCTGAGCAGCTCCTTCCACTTTTCCTACACCGAACGCCCGCCGCCGCTGGGGCAGTGCGCCAGTCCCGTGCCGACAGAGCAGCGACCGCGCTGTCCCTCGCCCTACGACAACATTCCAATGGGAAGAGCTCACATGCCGGCAGCGCAGTCAGCGCCACCGACATCGCTGCAGCCACGCTTCTCCCCACAGGTGAGGCGGCCCGGCGAGAAGCTTTTCATCTCGCGGCATCAGAATATCGACGAGCTTTTGGGTGGCGCTTGCCGGCCGCTCAGTCCGCTCTTCTACAACAACAGCAGCAGCGATGCGACGCCGGAAAGCGGCACGAATATGTTTCTGCTGGAGGAGAGCTCCTCCCTGGCCAGCAAGAATATGTTCCTCCTGGAGGAGATCACGCCGGATCAGGTGCGCATCCACGATAGCACCGCCCAGAGGCCGGTCATCCAGCGCATGCAAAGGTGAGTAGCGTGAGAGCGAAAGCTCCGAGAGAGAGTGCTTTCTGTCGTTTGTTGTGTGGTGAATGTCGAGCATGTGGTTGCTAATGCACTCTCTCTCTCTCTCTATTTTGATCTTGCAGAGATGTGGAGTGGTTGGAGAATGGCAGCAACTTTTACGAGCCACCAAAGCAGCACCATCAGCAGCAGCAACAGCGGAGGGTAAGTGGTTCACCACCCTCTCTCTCCCACTCTTGATTTCTAAGCAGATTGCAGGCTTTTTGGCAGCCTGCCCGGCGTCTTGTCTTGTTACGATATATCTATCGTGACGCCTACGCCTTTGTTTATTTATACAGATACCCTTACTCACTTTTCCTGATATAGGCAGAGCATATTAGCTAGTCACTTATCAGCAGAAACCCTTACTCACATCTAGTCATTCGGTTGATGATGCCCCACCTTCCCGAACTGCCTTTCACATTCAATGGCCTTATCGGCAGGACTTATGACACCCACTGTATCAATTACCCTGTACTGCAGCTGTAGGCTCATATGACAAAGGGCAACGCAGAGGCAGGGCCAGTCAAGGTGCGCTCGCTCACACCCAATTCTTCAGTTATCAGAATCTGGCATCTCTCTCGCGCGCCAGATTCAGTCCCGAATGACAGCAGTCCTCAAGTGTCGGAGATCTCTGGTGGTTTGTGGAAGGGAGAGGGGGCCCTGTGAGTCAGCCGTAGGCCGCCATCCGCAGGCTCTCGTGCGCTCTCACTCCCACACTAACAACAATGCGCACAAAAATGCCAGAACAAAATGCGGAACAGCAAAAGGAAAAAACACATAAAAACTAGTACTGGCTGGAAATACCCTGTAAAAGGGTATTGTTAATCTGACTGGCTCACTTTTCTATGCAGAATTATATAACTTCGGAGCAAATGAATGTAAACTAAGAGTTGGTTTGGGTGCCGGCCCACTTGCAGTACAGTCCTTCGATTAGTTTTCCTAGAAATACACAGCTTTATAAATGCGAGCTTTAAAACATATGTACTAATCAAGAATATAATACTTACATATGTTCACATTTATAGAGTAGTCGTGATGTCTCTACCCGTCGTGAGTGCCATAGCCCCCCACCAGCAAAGGGTATAAAAATCACGCAAAAATTCCCACTTAATTACATTCTGTCTGCGGGGCAGTCAGCGGGTCGCTTCCCGGCGAATTTGGATCTCGGTTCTGCGCTCCAGTTTGATGGGATGGGTTCGCGCCAACAAGGGAATCTCAGAAGAAGAGACTCCCGGCTAAATGGGTCATAATGCAATTAACATGAACATAAAGCCAAATCAAGTGGGAAAGAGCAAAGATAACTGTAAATTCCAGTAACCCCACCACTGTGTGGGGTTAGCATTTAACAGAGGGAACAAAGGGAGATTGCAAATATTTATATGTACATACATACGTTTGTATGTATTCGATTCGCTGCTTATGTACTCGCAAAATTGTTGACTTTGTGCTGCCAAATGTGGCCATAAAAAAAGTCTCCGTCGAACATTAAAAATCGAAAGTCCATTCAACTTTTGCATGAGGGGTGGGGCGGGCTACGAGGTATCTCGCACTAGACAAAGTCTGTTGTTGTCACCTCTGAACCGCTGTCAATCTGTCCCGCTCTCTCGCAAATTCTTTTCTCACCTCTGAACCTCCATCGGTGGCTGGCTCTGTCTCTGCCTCTCGCATGAATCGCTAGCCCAAAATAGCCAAACGGCATTGATGCGTGAAAACCAAAGCAAAAAAACACGCCAAAAAATTAACCAAATTACATTATAAAAGACATTTAGTTTCGTTTATCGCGCAAATAATTGCGCAAAGGCAAAAGAGACACAATTTTAATGGGGTGGAAAACAATACAAAACACTCGCGGATGAGTCAGAGCTGTCTGATGTCTGTTCCTCCATCCCACTGTTGAATACTGTGCGGTGTCTGTCTTTTCCTCTGCATCTTCTCTGTGCTATCCATCTCTCTTTTGATCATTCTTTCTCGTCGTCTTCTTTGCATTGTTGTTATTCAAGGCAATGGGTGACAACTCTATTATCAGTTCGTGTACTATCATGTCTCCAAAGACAACCCAAGTTGGTTTTTTGTTATTTATGTTGTAGTTTTAACATATTTGAAGTCTGAATCGACATTTGTTTGACTCTGAACTTGGGGAAACTCCCATTAGATGTGAAGTGTTAAGTTTTTATTTCTGAGGAAATGTGCAACATTGAAGCTGCTGCTGTGTGTTTATCTATCCATCCCTCTCACTCTTGAGCGTAGAAGCAAACGGTAGACGTATGTTTTTCTGATTCTTTCCCTTTCCCTCTTTAACGGAAGCACATATTACTCGAATGTAATGATTATTAAACAAGCACTCTAATGTCATACTCCTCGAAGCTTTAACCCAATTTAAATACCTCTAACCCACTTAAACTGTCGCATTAAACAATCCACCGGCTATAAAAACAAACTAAATTATTTACTCTATCGCCAAGCCTAATCGGCATTTGAAGCAATCGATTGGCCATTAAGTGGCATATCGAATGTGTTGGCCCCACCGTTAAACGCATGGCTGCCAATTGAATTTGTAACTCTTTCTGGCCCGCTCCCAAAATGCAATACATTGTCCCCCCGTCCGAAATGAAGTTTTGCACTCCACACAAACACACACACACACCCACCCATAGGAGTATGCACCCAGCGAATGTCCAGCTAATGATAGGCTAACGCTCAATCAACGATAAAGCCAAATTGTGGCACACGCGCAGCCTGGGCTATTTTTAGGCCCTGAAAATCGACTATCAGCTGCAGTTCAACGCAGCAGCAGCAGCAACAACGTGTTGCAGGAAGGTGCAGCCTGGCCACAGGCACAAACATACACACACACACACACACACACACCTGCACGCAATCCAACCTGCCTCAAGAGGTTTACGTAGCGTAACGCAACGTAACCCAAACGTCCGCGTCTTGTCTTACGCCGCTAACGCAAGGTGTGTGTGAATATAAGGTGAGTCATTCCCAAGAAACGATCAAAAGATTTTATTTTCAAGGTCTGCGGTCTGCAGAGAGCACACAGAACGAGCAAAGAGAGAGAGTGAGGGAGAGAAAGACTTTCTCAGACGACGATATGGTTGATATGATCAGGAAAAAAAACATGCAGCACGGACAAATCATTTAACATTTATCACAAAACAGAGAGTACCGCCTTACCTTGTATAAATGCACCGTTGGCTATCGTCTCTATGGCTGCTTACGTTGTTGTTCCCGCTCTCTCGCTCACCGTCGCTTTGGCTTTGGCTTTGGCTGATTCTCTCTCACACCACTACACATTGCCCGTGCTTCTTCTTCTTCGTCTTCTTGCACTTTTGTTGCTTGCCTTCTTCCACTTTGGGAGCTTCAGCGGCTCCACGGCATTTTGGGGCTTTCAGTTGCTCCCCGAGCACGCTCGAATTTAGTCGTCGCCGTCCGGTCGCCTCCGCTGCTTGTCGCGTGTCGTGTGAGTTAAGAAAAACGTAAAAATACGCGCACCCCCGCTATTGCTGGTTACCCCTCGTCCGTTGCGTGTTGTTGTTGGCAACATTTATGATATTTTAACCAACAAACGGAATGGTAATTGGAAATACTAAAAAGATCCAAAGTGTTTAGCGAAAAATCAAACGAAATACAAAATAGCCGATAAAGTGGGAAATAATTGTGCAAAACGAATCGAGGAAGAGGCATAAACATGGTTAATAATGTTAACTAGACGACGGACTCTGCTAAAATTGCAATTTGTTTTGAAATACTATTGATTTTTTTGCGTGTCACTGTGTCAGTGTCAATGGACAATCTTCAATTTTTTTTTATGTTTTTCGAATGGTGTGCTCCACTGTGGGCGCCCCTGCTTCTTCAAAAAAAAAAATCTCAGTGTCAAATGTTCTTCAGCGGGAAACAGCTGTCGTGCCTGTCTCCATCTCATTCGCTCTCCTTGTCTGCTCATCCTCTTTGGCCGCTGCTTCGTTATGGAGTGCAGGGCTCTCACGAAACGTCAGGTTCGGGCTCCTATTGAGGATCTCTGTCCCCTGTCCCCTGTCCTCTGTCCCTGTGAGATGAGCAAATAGTAGTGAAAATATACACACACAAAAAAAGACTCTAAAGGAGAGGCAAAGGAATATCCAAAAACCGGAATTGTGCAAATAAATCTCGATACAAGACGAGTCTTCCCAGGGAAGCACTCTGTGGGTCGGTCATTTTGTTGGGGCCAGAAGGAAGCATATCGTTGGCGTTCAATTTTTGGCAAATTACGAGGAGAGAAATATGTAATTTATTTGCAATCATTAAGGAAAATTGCATGCCCAAGGGGAAAATGTGTCTCCCAGAAGATCACTTTCTATACTTTACCCTATGAAAGCTGCATTTCGTGGGCCATCTATCACCTGTTGACCCAAAAATCATTGACAGCAAATTATCATCTAGTACCGCTCCACATAGTACCCGCATAGACCTTCCTTCATTCTGTCAGCTGTCGCTCAATTAGTTTGAATTGCATTACCCTATGATTACCCCATAAAACAGACGGCCCCAACATGCCCCAACTAAAACCGAAACTAAAGCTAAAACTTACTCTTCTGCTGCTCTACTCTTTATTTACCTTTTAATATGCAAATAATGAATGCTGTGGAATTTATTATGGCGAAATAAGAATGAGTTAATTCACTCAGCTCTATATCTAGTGTGCAAAAAAAGAGCAGCTGTTGCGAGGGGTTAGTGGGGGCAAGAAAAACCTCATTTTCAACGCGGCTAGTGCGAAGTACGAAGTACTTGCCAGAAAGAGAGCTTCGCCTCGCTTCTACTTAGCCATAAACACAGGCATGTGCAAATTACAGTGGGCTGTGAAAGTCAGTGCAACGTCAGTGGAAATAATTGTGAAAAATGTGAGAGTATCTGAGGAGGATAGCATTTATAATGGAATAATAGAGGACGGAAGGAACAGTTCGTAACCAAAAATTGGCCCAGATCTGTGTGATTGTGGCCCAATTGTGATTCGCTTCAATTGTTTTTAGCGCATACCTAGCGCACCCACTGTGCGGACACCACCGTAAACGTAGTTACGATTTTAATTATCTGCCGGCGTAATCTGCCAGCGACGACAGCGACAGCAACGTCGACGTCGACGTCGACCGCCTGTTGACGTGCCAACCGCGAGACACTTC